CTGAGAAGCGTGCCCTGATGGATGTTCTTGCAGCCCAGGTTACGGGTTAGGGCCCGTAGAAGCTTGTCCTTAACCCTAAACCCTAAACCCTAAACCCTAAACCCTAAACCCGAAAATCCACACTGCCCTACACCTGTCCTCATAGTCTCAGCCTTGACCCTAAGAAACCTTCATGTTTTGGGGATCCTTACAATGAACTTCTTATTTCTAGGATTCCTTCTTATGAAATCCTTATTTTCTAGGGTTCCTGATTATGAACTCCTCTTTTCTAGGGTTCCTTATTATGAACTCCTCAATTTCTAGGGTTCCTTATTATGAACTCCTTATACAAGCCCTTAATTAAAACAGCAGGTGCTCTTTGGGGTCGGATTAGCCCCTGCGCAACTCCTGGCTCCTGAACCCTCGATCCGAACCCCAAGATCCCAAAGCACGAAGTTGATCCTACCTAGCCCTTCGAAAACCAGGCCCTAAGCCCCTAAAACCCCTGAGCCCTGAACTCCTGAATCCCTACACCCTAAAGCCCTAAACCCTGCACATGTTGTGGGCTCTCTAGGGCCTTTTTACAGATTTTGTACTGTGCTCTTAAGCCCTAAACCCTAAACCCCCTAAACCCGAAACCCCTAAACCCTAAACTTGCCCCTAAACCCTTAACCCTTAAAACCTAAACCCCTAAACCCGAAACCCCTACACCCCTAAACTCCATTCCTTTTTCGCCCTACCTATAGTGTCCATTGTAGTCCCTTTTTTGGTTTAACCAGTTTTACATTAAGGATCCTAAAAGGTAAACAAAAAGGAACTACTATGGAGACTATAGGTAAACCTTAAACCCGAAGCTCCTAAACCCTAAACCCTAAACCCCTAAACCCCTAAATCCTATACTAAATCCAAGTCTCCAGGACTCCACGGCCACGAACATGGCGCCACAGACAGCGTGCAAAAGAAGCAGCAGGATGGTGGGGCCAGGATGAAGTCCTGTCGGGGCTGCCTTAATGGGGTTTTAGGTTCTAGGGCCTTAAGGGCTTAGGGGCCTTAAGGGCCTTAAGGGCCTTTGGGGCTTTAGGGTTTAAGGGCTTTGGGGTTTAAGGGCTTTGGGGCTTTGGGGCCTTAAGGGCTTTGGGGCTTTAGGGCTTGGGGCTTTAGGGCTTTAGGGCTTTAGGGTTTAGGGTGTTAAGGCTTTAGGGCTTTAGGGTTTTGGGGCTTTAGGGGTTTAGCTTTCGATGGGTACCTCAAACAGGCCGCCCAGACGATGGGCATGGGAGAGCCCCTGGTTCGAATTGTGAACATGTACGACGGGGATACCCAGCCGGGACTCCCTGAAGTTGTGGAGATGATCGCCAGGATGCGTGCGGACACCGGGTTGACGACATCCAACACACATGTTATCATTAGTTGTCTGGCGAGGCTTTGAACTGTTCAAGACGGACCAAAACTGGAACGGCGTTACCTCCTCTGTGTCGAGAGAACGATTTAGTCCGTATGCCTCCAATAATAAGGGCCAACTCGAGCGGCTCAACAGGGAGTTCGCGTCGGTTAGCCTCTGTGGTCCGATGTCACCACGACTTGCTTCGCTCCCCGAAAAGCCTCCCGCTTCGGCTGACCATGTCAGCTCCGGGCTTCGAGCGATATGGAGGCCCTTTCGGATGGGGAACTTCCTGTCTGTGGCGATTGATTCGTTGATGGAAAGTCTACCCCAGGTCTGCCTTCGGCGCAGAACCCTAAACCCTAAACCCTAAACCCCACGGGCCTGCACCATCTTTTTGTCCTGTGCCAAAGCTTCCTTCTGGTCAGCCTGGACAGAACGCCGTTCCTAGCATTAAATGCTTGCATCCAGACATACCCTTAGGTCCTTAAAAAGTAACCCAATCAGGGAAAATAGGGCTATAGGGTTTAGGGCTTTCCAGGCTCTAGGGCTTTAGGGTGCTAGGGTTTAGAGTAATAATTAGGGTTTAGGGTTTTATCGTATTAGGGGCTTTTAGGAATTATAGTGGGCATGAGGATTCACAGTCCAGGGCTTGAATAATTGCGGGGGTTAGCTTTGAAGGTTTAGTAGGGCTTGCGGTCCTCAGTCTGCCTTCAACAACCTTAAACCCTATAAGCCCTAAACCCTAAACCCCTAAACCCTAAACCCTCAGCCCCTATTCCCCTAAACCCTAAACCCCTAAACCCTAAACCCAAAGCCCCTAAACCCCTAAACCCTTAACCCTAAACCCTAAACCCCTAAACCCTAAACCCTTAAACCCTAAACCCCCAAAACTCCTAAACCC